AATCTTTTTTAAAAATTAAAAAACTAAGCATAAGTAAACAAACACATCTGCTCTAGAAACATATGCAAATACAGGCAGTAAAGTCATAACATTGGGATGCAGGAGTCACACTGTAATCCTGGGATCCTGAAAATTCGTGGGATTTAAGAAAATACCACCGCTTCCCTCTTACCCTTAGGTCTATAGCTATAAATATAGCTTTCATGCCACTGAATCATCTAGCTCAACAATCACCCAAAAGCCTCCCTTCAAAACAGTGCACTCCTACTCTAATTCCATCATATGAAAATGAGGGTAACATTAGAAAATCATCTTTTCTTTAATTTACCTCAAAATTATGACTATGTTTAAATGATAACTAATATTTGTTATGAAAAAACAGAACACTGTCCTCTAAGCATAAGAGCATAATGGCGAATATATCTGTAAATTTTTACAGAAACATGCCAGTGCTGGTGGGGACCTTTCCGTTCTCAGGTTCACACGCAACGGCAGCTATCACACGCAGGCGTCAGGGCAGATGTAACAGAAGAGGAAAGAGCTCCCGGGACGAAGACCAAGACAAGTTGATGAAGTTACGCTATGAAATAATAAGCCAAGGTGTAATTATGTAGTAAGAAACCACCACCCTGGCGAGATAAGAAAAGAGAAAATGAAAAGTACGTTTTCTTTAAAAATCTCTTCCAATAATCCTTCGTCTCCTTTCATAGAGACCTTCCAGTACATCTCCATGTTCCAGGTATTTACATTACAACATAGTGAGTGCTCTTTATTCTCCTTGCCACCTTTTTTTTTTTGGTTAATAAATTTTAAAGAACTTTGTGTTTTCTGGAGAAATTTTGTAAATGCCGTGGCGGCATCAGTTCCGACCCAGCCGGAGCAGCCCGGTTCTATCACAGAGCTCCTGCCCCACAGCCAGACGCCGTGAGGACGGAGAGCAGGCCGCCGTGCAGTCGGGCAACGCCTCGCCTCTCGGGGAATCCAGTGTTGGGCGTCGGCTGACTGGCGTGCTGCACTGAATGCTTAAAAAATAAACAATGTAAAGAAAAGGTAAACATCTACCCGACTAAATGATGTACAGAAGTTTAATTTAGTTGTGAAAGCTTATCAAATAAAAACAGGTATAATAGATACCATGATTTCACTTTTCAATTACTCACTAAATGTTATTTGATCATAAGAAAAATACCAATTTAAACATTTCCTCTTGAGGATGTCTGTAACTATAATTATAGCACATTCCAACAAAGCAGAATAAAAATTTTTCTTCAGCTACATGTTTTATTAAAAGCTGTCTGCTACAATAACACACTGGAGAGAGAAGACAGGCTTTACTCGGAGCAGTACCAATAATCTGACAAGGATAAACACGGGGAAGCTTTATCTGTCCATACAATGCTCAAGGAAGCAGAGAATGTGCAGAATCTTACAATGGTTGTCTTTTATTTATATTCCAAAAAAAGATTTTTGCAGCAACTGCCAAAGTAATATTTGCAACTTCTGCCCTTTTTGCTCTCCAACAGAAGTTCCAGCACATGCTACCTGTAATTTATAAATTTGGCCTTCTTCTTTGCAAGTTTATACTGTTTTATATTTAGCCAATAGGTGGTAGATTTCTTAGTTCACTGATTTTAAGAATTGGTAAGCATCACCGCCCCGACACAGAACTCAGACGACAGGCACTCAGACATACATGGAGCAGACATTATGGCATCACTTGTTAAACTTCTATCACAGCAATCCTAGGTAACCAGGTAAATATTCTCCTGTGATATCATTTTGATATGATACAGTTTGAGGTTCCTTGTTTCATGTCTATTCTAATAAGAATAAACACTTGTGTTACACTCTTCCCATTTAACGAGTGACAAGCACTGATCTGTGAACAGTGGATATGGTTGGCCAACTGGGGCGGGGGTGAGGGAAGGAAAGAACACACCGATTCCACTCCCTAAGGCTTCCCAGGGAGTCCGACCAAGTCACTGACTGGCAGCTGGATGGTTCCACGGTGCCGTCTACACTGCGCTCCGCTCCTCGCTGCCCGGACACTGCCACTCCCACCACAGGCGCCACCTTGCCCAGGAAGTCTTCCCCGGCTCTCTCAAGCCCAGCTGTCACTCCCTCGCCCGTCTTCCACACACCTGCTGCAGATGCCCACTGTCCCCTGTATCAGGATACACTTGACCTATCGTGTACGGGCCTGACTCCTCCCAAGGCTACACTCCTCAGGGCATGAACCCTTTTTATCTTCATCACCCTAGAAACCACGGAGAGCTCAGCCCATAAAAGATGATCAACAAAGAGTCACTAAATAAATAAGTGAATCAATAAGTGAATGAAATTAACACCTACCTTGAAAACTAGATTACATCAGGCAGTCATTAGGAGTGGTTTTTAGAGAATCTTGTTTTACTTTACGATAGACTTGAATATGCATAACTACTAAAGTAATAACTCATGAATCACTACAAAGTCAAGTTTTGGGATTCAGATATTCCATAATATACACCAGCCAGAAAAAAAGACAAGAAACGAATAAAAAAAGATAAATGTGACACTTCATGCTTTTAAAAAGACTCCTTTCCATCAGCTGCTGTTCACAACATGTGCTCCTGTGAAAACTGGGGCTAGAAGTTGGCCGATATGCATATTAAAGGAGAAGTATACACTGACACCATATCCTTTTTATTATTATCCTGTTCACGATGTAATATCATATTGGTAAAAATAGAAGCTAATCCTGAATATCTGCTATGTGCTTAGCACTATATCATTTTATTTAATTCCTACAACAATCCCGGTAACATTCCCATGATCTCTGCTTTGCAAATGATGAAACTGTGGCTTAAAAAGTTGGGGTAACTTCTCAAGATCACAAACCCAGGAAGAAGTGAGACTCAAATCCAGGAGGAAGTGTTGGTGCTCACTATGCAAGGAGACGGTGGCTTGAAACTTTAAGCTCTGCTACTTACTACCTTGGGGCCTTGGGCAAGTTCCTCACGTGGCACTTGGTATATATGGTAAAACTTCTATCACATATAAGAGCATACACTGTAGTGTTAGGAGTTCATAAATAATATTTTAATTTTTCTCCCAAATTTTGAAGTCTTAAAAAGTATGAATTAACAAAGCCTCGACATGCTACACCACAAGCATACAGTTTGTTATTTACATAAAATAGTGACCTGACACCCAGAATTATGGTTTTTGGACATTTCTGCTCAGATAGTAAAATCAATAAAAACTATTCTAAGCATAAACTTCTAATATATGTATATATCTTTTATTATTTATTGTAAGTATGCATACATGCTACTGTATTATACTGCTATTTTTATATTGTTAATGTTCAGTCCTAAATTCTCTGCAGCTCTTTGTACAAGTTTAACCATATTTGATATTCCTGATTTCAGGTTTTTCAGTAAGAAGATATTAAGAGTTTGTATAATAGCACAAGCATGTAAGTTTTCAGTGATAAAATCACAGTGATATTTAAATTGCCCAATGTGTCAAATGTCCTTCACTATAAATAACATGAGCTTATTTACAAAAGTAGTTGTCCTCTTATCCATTATCACAACATGAATGCTTACTTGATGGAGAGATTAGTGTTTCTGTTTTAAATATCTTGCTATGCAACATCTTATGACAGTAATCTTTTTTTTTTAATTTCTTCACTGTTTTATTGTTGTTCAAGTATAGTTTGGTGCATTTACCCCCCGCCCAGCCATCCCCACCGCCCTCCCCTGATTCCACCTCGCCAGCCTTGGTCTGTCCATGAGTCCTTCATAGTTGTTCTGACAGCAATCTTTTTAAACTGCTCACCCACACTGTGAGTTACAGTCGAATTAAAGCTGCATAATCTGTAAATCCACATAAGCAAACACATGCAAAACGCAAAACTCAAATACTCTGAGAGTGAACAGACGAGTGTGAGCACCGCAGTTACTCGGCCCCGAGGACCGGAAGCCCTTCCCTCCCCCAGGCCCCTCCTGAACTGCACGGGACCAGCGGCCAGTGGGCCTGAAGACCCAGGGAGGTCTCAGTGCCACAGCCCGGCAACTACCAGCACGGCTTCATGCCCTTTTGTGTTGGCAATTTAAAAATATAGATGAAACTTTACACATCCTGCCCAACCCCACAGCAGTAGGTCACCGTGCCCATGCCATTGTAGAAAACAATCATAAAAAACGGTTTAAAAAAGACGCTGAATCTAGCAACAACTGAATATATTAGGCACTCAAAAATATATGTGGAAGGGAGGGGGCAAATAGGGAAGAAAGGGAAGAAGGAATCAGAGGGGTTAAAGAATTATAACAGCTGATATATCCTGAGGAACAAGTCTTGGTTCTCAAAAAATCACATTTATGAATTGAGATTTTTCGAAAAACAAAAAAATGCTATTATTTTAAAGTTTGTGATTTATAGATTAAGACAGTGGAAGGTGAGACCTATGAAGACCGTCTAGGATCAAGGAGGACCTGTATTTACCATGCTCCACAATCAGTCTTTTAGCCAGAAGCAAAGGAACTTTCGCTGGACCCAGAGGCTCCTGAGAGAATACGGATCTGGGCGACTGCCCATATCACTGAAGTGCAAGGTCACGTCAGCGCAGAAGGCCTTTTCATTTCAAGTTAATCTGATTTTAAAATTACACTAGGAGACAGTTACACTGTGAACAAGTGAAACTATATAAATCTCAAACAACAACAAAAGGTTAATTGATTGCACTTGAAATATAAGTACATTACAGTTTGGTAAATAGTTATTATAAAGTCACTAAAAGGAAAAAAACGAAAGCCAAGCCGCAAAGTGACGGCAGACGACGAGGGTGCGCCGTTCACCGCTTCCCATTCCCAACGCTGTTCGGCACGAGAGGCGGAACACCACACCGACACGCTCTGAGCCAGGCCCCAAGCAGTTCCTTCCGACTCACGGGGGCTGTGAAAACAGGTTCATTTAATACACCCTATGAGCGTAACACGAAAAGAGCTTCCTACCTTTGTGATGAGCAGTCGGTACCTATCCAGCATCTCCTGGTTGTCATGGCAGCCTGCTAACAACTGCCACACCTCTGCCCTCAGAGCTTCAGGGACGCCACTCTTCACCAGAGCCCACAGCCCTTTCGGTCGTGCCTCCAGGTTGTTGTGCCTGGGAACACAAACAAATGGAACCCTCAGACTCCCCTCACCACGGCCGGACTGCTGCCTGGGGGAAAAGCACACCGATGAGTTTACACGAAGAGCGGGCCTGGGCCCCAAGAGGGGAAGGGCGTAAACTAACGATAGGGTTTAACTCTGTGATGGTTTTGACTGTTTTTCTTGATCTCACCGTCTTTATTGTGAACCATGTTATCCCATCACCAAAGAAAGGTTTTTCTTTCTCTCATTTACTATTCCTTATTTACCCTATAGACTTACTCACAATATTAAATGTGTTAACTAAATGTTTGCAGGCAGCATTTCAAGGCACAAAAAGAACCACCCGAACGCCCTGGGATGAGCGTACTAAGGCAGGTTGGCTGCTGGTGTGTCCTCCAGCTCCGGCGGCGCAGAGCCCGGTGCTGACACGCCCTCCCCTGAACACGTCCGGTGCGGGCCCCATCCTGCCCTAATCTGGCTACAGAGACTGCGGGACGTCTCTGCGGAATGCTGGAGCTTGAGAACTATCTGACGTCGTACGGGTGTGTGCCTTTATTTTTCTTTGACCAGGCTAATTTACACCTCTGGATAGATCGAAGATGACATGTAGAAAACTGATAATAATGCATAAGGTTTTTGTCCTTAGCTATTCAAATGATTCCTATTCATGGCGATGCAAATGAATTGTCTGGTGGAGAATGTAATGAAATGAAATCTCTAAATGAAATCCTCATTTTCATTGGCTCTAATATATTACTGGTTCCTTCTTAGTTAATGTCAAATAAACTCTGAGATGTGTTCATTTTATATTTGTATATGTAAGATAATTTTCTTTGTTTAAGAAAGGTGAGGCAGCTGGCCCCTCTTCCTCTTAGAGTATCTTCTCACAGACATAACAGGCTCAACTTTTTGGCTAGGGATCTGATACACCTAGTCCCGAGATTTTACAGTGAGAAGCCACAAGCCTTCCAGCCCTCGGATCTACAAATACACATCTCCAAATTAACTCATGAGTCTCTCAGGGTTTGTACAGGAGATGGCCACCAGTAATATTCCCTTGTCTCTTAAAAATAGTTTTAACTGTTCTTTCATCTACTTGATTGTATAAAATGTGTAAAACTCATCCCAAACTTTGTACTTTCTCCTAGACTACCTGCATGCATATAATCTGATGTGCGTGCCTGATAACAGGGTTTTTCCACGTGTCTACGCTGCATGGCAGAGTCTTTTTGTTGGCAAGATTTTTTTATTCATGATTATCTTTTCAAAAAACTCAACTATAATAAATAGAGTATTTATAATAAATATAAACAGGGTACCTTCTTTTGTAGTTTCAGATAAAACCCCAAAATGTAAAGTAATAGTTTTAGTCAAGAAGAATAGAACAGACTGAGTTACAGTTTATAATCAGTGGTCAAATGAGAATTTCTAAACTCTTCATCCCCTTTTGGTGGTAACAGACTTAGTAGGGAAAGGAAATGTAACCCTTAACAATAGATATCTACATGCATTGGCAATACAGCATAAAAATGACTACTCTGAACAATGTTATGTCTTATAAATAAGACTATATTGGAGGGAAGGCCTAGGCAAACATAAGGAGTATTTATTTATTTATTTATTTTTAAAGACTTTATTTATATACTTTTTTAGAGAAAGATACAGAGGGAGAAAGAGAGGGAGAGAAACATCAATGTGCAGTTGACTCTCGAGTGCCCCCAACTGGGGACCTGGCCTGCAACCCAGGCATGTGCCCTGACTGGGAATTGAACCAGTGACCCTTTGGTTCACAGGCTGGCACTCAATCCACTGAGCCACACCAGCCAGGCCATATATAAGGAGTATTTATAAATTTTATTTTAATTTTTATGTTTTTAAAGTACATTAAAATATTAAGATATATGACGCATTGATTTTAATACAAATTAATATAATATAAAATTTACCTAATACAACATGAATTATGTAAACATAAAATTTTCCATTAAAAAAATGAATTTTCCTAGCTGGCATAGCTCAGTGGATTGAGCTCAGGCTGTGAACCAAAGTGTCGCAGATTTGATTCCCAGTCAGGGCACATGCCTGGGTTGTAGGCCACGGCCCCAGCAACTACACATTGATGTTTCTCTCTCTCCCTCTTTCTCCCTCCCTTCCCTCTCTAAAAGTTAATAAATAAAATCTTTTAAAAAATAATTTTAAAAAAATGAATTTTTACCATCTTCCTAGCAATTCTCCCCAAGAATACAGGATCTTCTCAGGACAATCCTTAGACACATCACCTGTTCCACTTGAGAGTTCATTATCACTCTCTGCAGAAAAAACACAGAAACAAAAACAATAAACATTATACTCCATATTATATTAGATATCTATATATTATAAAACAAAAAACATGACTCAGTGCCCATAAAAGACAAATGATACTTTTGTTTATATTATTACACCCACTGGATGTATTATTACACCCATTTACTGTTATTACAAAAATAACAGTAAAAATTTCATCCATATAATTTATCCTTAGTGCCTAGTTACATACTTTCAAGTCATAAACTTTTTATGAAAATACTTACCTATACTCTATAGAGTATAAAATTTAAAATGTCTACAAAGAAACAGAGTAAACACCTACAAATACAAAGAGTAAAATTTAAAAGTTAATGATAATACAAGTAGAAATTTCTATTTGGTGCTCTCTTCACCAGATTAATATTCTCAAGTATTATCGTTTTATTAGTGAGACCAAAATATACTAAAGCCTATGGTCAGATATATACGCACATGCACAGAAACAATGCTAGAAACACCTATATAATACATACAGACACATCACAACCTGAAATGTAAGAAGTAAGGCTGTAGACATACAGTCATATGTACAAGATATTGTACAAGACTAAAGGAAATTATTTGGCCTTTCGAAACGGCAACCTTACAAAACATCCCAAGTTGTGAAGTGATAGTTTTACAAAGAATGGGATGGGGTGGCAGTTTGCAATCGCTGATGAAGATCAGGGATTCTCAGCTCTAGAAATCTTTTAAGTGGTAACAGAGTTAGTAGAGAAAATACATGCAAGAGGCACGATTTACCTACGTTACGACAAGGCCTCTGACACTGCGCTACACGAGACAAGGCGGGAGAAACGCTGTGTCGATGCCAGAACGAGCGAGCTGAAACTCCGCCGGGCGGACAGCAAGCACCTGGCTCGCTCGGCGCTGTCACAGCGCAGCAGGGACCAGCCGTAAGTCAATCCCACAGGGTCTGTGTTAGCTACAGCACTGCTTAGCCTGCTACAAATCCAACGATCCAAGGATCAACTAATTCCTGTCGGTGGATGTATTCAACACCAAAACACATCAATGTGATAGAGGTTTATTTGGCCAGGTGAAAACATTTGGTCATATGCACACAAAAAGATTTTTATCACAGACTTAGTAAAATATAACCAAAACTTATGAACACACAGACAAATGCCTCAATAGCTTTAGGACAATACTGATATGCAAGATTTACAAAATACATTTCATTCAAAAAGTGAACATTATTCTGGAAATTGGAATAAAGGTTAAGAGAGTAGACATATCACTGCTCTAGAATTACCTCACACAAGCAACTGTATAAAGTTTGCAACAAGTTCACCATGAAAATAATAAAGAAATTTTTTAAAAGCTAAAGCAAATGAAGTATTACTAAGTATTAAAGGGACAATGTAACCAAAAACAACTAAAGCCTTAATATTAAAATATCTTCAAGAACTATCCCATGTAAACAACTATCCCTTATAACCTTATAATTTCTTCATCTAAACTGAGGCACTTTTGAGAGTGAAAAGAAACACTATTAAAAGTTACACCGAAAACAGATGAACTCAGGCTAATAGGGACTTCTGGTCACCCTTCTTTTAACTGGCAGTAAGCATAATGTAATTACTTACAAATTGGAATTCAATTAAACAGGGCCTAAGATGATCCTGCCCTTATGCTCCATTTTGCTCCACGGTAAATTAATATGCCAGATTTCTAAAATATTTAGAAATTTGTTAATGCTAAACTAGAGAACAAAATCTAAGAACACAATAAAAAGGAAAAAGGAAAACGGAAACAAACACTGACAGGCATCATTACTCTTGATTATAATGCAAATCAGAAAGTACTAATACAAATAATCTGTCAGATTCTTATTATTCTTGTTGGAAAAGGAATCCCAAAGCATGAAACAAAACCAAGATGCCACGTGAGCAAGATTAAGAAGCATGACTAACTATAAATTAAAAATGTCTAGAAGTAAGGTATAGAGTATAATTTTTTAAAGCAGAAAAAGATCCAACATATGACACAGGGCTATTTTCACTAATACACCAAGGTCTTAGTAAACCATAAAATAAAGAAAAATCCAACATGAAATTGGGCCAAGGACATGAACATAGTATAGGCCACAATACATAAAATACAACCAGCCAATAAAGACAGACCCAGCTCAACAACTTTTCAGTGCAAATTAAGATGATACAACATTCACCAATTAGATTGGCACACAGTATGAAAAATAATAGTACTTAGTGTTGGTAAAAGTATGGGGAAACAGGAAAAAAGACTGATATTCAAATAAGAGCAATCTTTTAAACTTAGTAAGATTTGAAATTAATACACTATTTGATCCAGCAACTCCACATCTAAAAATTTTTTCTCCAGAAATACATGTCAAAGAGAAACATGTAAAAAGATTTTCACTATATAACTGCTTGTAATAATAAGAAATTGAAAACTATCAAGAATCTACCAAGAAGTTTTATTAACTAAATTATGGTATAGCCATTCAGAAAATAATATCCAGTCGTTTAAAAGAATTGGGTAACAAAAGAGTAATCTTTAAGGATGGTTTTTTTTATTTTGGGGGATTATTTTATTTTAATAATATTGCTTATATGACTACAAAGACCACTGAAATAGCTGTAAGAATATACACTAAACTATTCACAGCAATTATGTCACAGCATCTAACGGTATCTTATCACACAGGAGGCACTGAGTAAATAAATATCTAGGGGATGACGAAAGGAAATTAGACTTTGGGCAGTGGGTACACAATGCAATATACAGATATGTCTCATAGAAATGTAAACCTGAAACTTATACAATGCTATTAACCAATGTCACCCCAATAAATTTATTTTTTTTAATTTGGGGGAAAAGAGAAAAAGAAATAAATATCTAGGAAACATATCTATCACTTAAGTTTTATACTTCTATAATGTATATTCTTACCTTTTACAATAAGTATGCTATAATAAGCATGGGGAAAGGATTTTTATCCTTTAGACAATCCCTGCTGCTTTATGAAACCAAAAACCTATCATTATAAACCTCTACTAGCATGCCATTAAAATCACCACTGGTAACAACAACGTACTGTCTTCCTGACAACCTTCCACATTACCGCCCACCACGAAAAGTGAACCAGAACCATAGACACCGAGATTAGCAGAGGGGAACCACAAGGAAAAGGGAAGAAAGTGGGCAGACGGGTAGCACCAGACCACAGATGAACACTGACACAGGGCGGACAGCAAGTCAGGGGCCGAAGAATAGGATGAAAACTCAGACTCATCCCAGGCGTTTACTGAACGTCTGCCTTTTCTGGTTTATATTCTAGGCACTATTCTAAGTTTTACAGGCATGATGTCGTTTCGCCCTCTGAACAACCTAGTGAGGTCGTCACGACTGGTTTGCCCACCTTGAAGATGAAAAAGCCAAGGCACAGAGAGGCCAAGTAATTCACCCACAGTTACCCAGCTAGTGGAGAGAGAGGGTTCCATCTCAGTTTGAATCCAGAACCTCTCCATATAGTGTTCCCTACCACGTTTCTACAGGAGGCTGCACTCGGCATTAGTGAATCCCAGTCTGTGCCACATGACAGCATCTAGTAAATGCTAGGAGAACGGAAAAGCCAGGCATTTGAACAACCAGCCCCAGAAACACTGAATCAGGAGCATCAGACTTAACGGTGAGGCTTCAGGGATGGAAGCCCCTGATGAATAACAATGAAACGGATATCCCAGAGACAGCAGGAGTGTGAGCCGGACTTCTATCCTCCCTGCTGCGGAAACCACTGACCAGGAGGGTTTTAGATACTTACTGGCCATCCTGCTGGAGAGAAAAATAGGGGGCTGAAGGGCAGTACCTCAAAATCCCTACTATATTAGATAAGACAGAGCTTCTAGAGAGGATGAAAGAAATAAACTAAGACAAAAGTAAGAATGAAAAAGACGCGGGAGACCGAAGCGCATTAATGAGCACAGTGGGGAGGGCGGGGAGGAGAACGTGACAGAGAAGACAAGGGAAAGGAGGGTGCAACCATGAGGACATGCAGAAGGGGGGGTAACTGAAGCTGCTGAAAAAACTGTGTACAATACAGTCCAATTGTAGACTGTATTGTACACAGCAAAAAAAGAAGGACAAATGATAGAAGGCTGGGAGGCCCATCCTTGGCTTAAGCATACTTTTTAAGCATTTCATTTATTTACTCCCAGAGGGAGGGGAAATGAGGGAGAACGACAGGGAGAGAACACAGACTGGGCGCCAGCCAGGTACCGGCCCCACAACCCAGGCACGTGCCCTGACCGGGAATCAAACCCGCAGGACAATGCCCAGCCAACTGAGTCACACTGGTCAGGGTGGCTTCCTGGTACTTTTGCTTCAAAATCTAGATTAGGGATTACCCTCTTCCAGCTGAGCTGAGTGCCCCCCCTCTGAGCTATTCATCACAGCCCTTAACACACAATGTTACATGTCTGTTTTCCTCTAAATCTCCTCCCGTCAGATTTTCCATTTCACGGCAGTGAGGACTAAACTTTCCTTTCTATATGCCAAGTGCCTAGACTGGTACTTGGTCACAAGGGTGTCACAAATTGCCCGAATGAATAGTTGGAGGGGAGGGAAGTAGAGAGAAGGTGACTCTGTTGCAACTAGAAAACAAGTGTATGCCTAGACAACTGGTGACATCGCTCTGTGCGGACGTGGGGAACGGGAACCAGGCTCGTTCGGTCATTCATAATGGACCCGGAGCCAGACGGCCTGGGTCTCAAACACGGTCCCACCGCTCTCGAGCTGCCATCCTGTAAGCTCCTTAAGCCCTCCGCTTCAGCTGCCTATCTCCAAAATGGAAATCATATCACGAATCTTACAGTCGTTGCAGGAATCAAGCAAGTTACTACATGGAAAACGTATATTACAGTGCCCAGCAAAAGGCAAGCGCTATATAAATGTCAGCTACTAAAAGCTGTTTCATTCAACAAGTGTGAATGTCTAC